GGGGGGGGGGGGAGGGGGACGGAAACAAATGAAAAAAGGACAAGAGACAGTAAATTTCACTGTGATCACACTACGGCAAAATATACCTTCTGTTCATTGCAAAAAATGTGTGAAGGCCAAATTAAAGAGGAAAACAAAAAGCATGTTGCATGAGTTACAGTGCAACCATATTACTCCTTCTCTTTCTATTTTCCTCCCCTTCTTGTTCAGTTTAGAAAAAGGATTGAGTACAACACAGTCAGGTAAGTGGCCACAAAAGAGTAGCTGTCTTTGGCAAGAAGTCACCGCATCAACCCTCTCTGTCACCTTCTGCCCATTTCACTCTGTCTCATGAAGTGGATGTTGTTGGCGCTGTCTGAGAGTTCGGGGTACTGCTCCACTGAGATCACAAAATAGCCGTCGTAGCCCTGTACCCGGCCCGTGTTTAGCACTTGTTGCTTCTCCCCTTCTGTCCACGAGCGAATACCCTCCTCCCCGTCCCGCAGTCTCTGCTGTTCCCGGGACCAAGCTTGGGCTACAGCACGCTGTCGGGCCAGCTCCAGGACACGGGCCTTCTCCTCATCCAAGGTGGTCCCGTAGCGAGTGTTCAGACACAGCGCACCGTACTGGAGCTGGATGTCCGTGTAACGTCTAGTCCTTCCACTTAGCACTGTGTTGATCTGGGACACTGTCACGTTCACGCCGTTCTCCAGGGTCCTCCGCCCGCCGCTGAGGCCCAAGATGGACAGGTCGCCCTCCGACGGCCCTTGCTTAATGAAGTAGTGCGTGTCCACCCCGTCGATGGTGAAGTGCAAGTTCTCCAGGTAATGGGCGTTGTTCAGGATGGCCGCAATCCTCCGCCCATCCTCGTTGGCCACGCTGATAATGTCGGTGGCCACGCGCCCGTCCTTCATGGCGAACTTGACACCTTTGCCGAAGATGGAGCCTCCAGAGGCAAAGTTCTTGTTCTTCTTGACCTGCCGGCACCCGGCGATGCTGGAGCTGTAGATCCGTTCGAAGCGCTCAAGAGTGACAAAAGCTTTCAGCTGCTTCTGCACTTCACATTGGACCCCCAAAATTGACTGAGCAGGGAGAGAAAGAAGAGAAAGATGTATTAAAAAAGAGAAGCCCGATGACCCAAAGGCATTATCAGCATGCTGGAGACCAGCAGAACATCCTGGAAACTTCTAATGAGGAGCGCTTTTTTTTTTTTTTTTTCCCTTATCACCTTTTTTCAGATTGTTAATTCTTTTTAATGGAAGAGACGTGTTGTCACATTATTCCCCCTAATGTTCATTGTTTCTGAACTGTATTTAATCTCACAGACTGAAGGATGTGGAGGTAGAAAAGGACTTTTTGCCTCAGCGGTGTGAGGGTCGAGTTTGGACATGCAATTATTTTGTGCTTCAGTGTTCTTCTTCAGCACATAAGAAATCATTCATCTTGTGGCCATGATGCTTTATAAAATGCTTTCATATTTTCTGTGAAAAAGTGTGCAAGTATTTGTAAAAGTTCCCTCTATTTTAACTTCACTTTGTAACTCCTTGTGCTACCTTCAAAAGCCCTGCATCACAGGTATGACCCTCAAAGTGGCTATAACCCCTCCGTATCCCATTTCAACCTGGACAAAGCAGTTTGTTCAAAACTTAACGAAGGCCCTAAATCCATCTCCTGTTTTCTGCAAATCCTCTGCAATGTGCCAGACTCCCTGAGCTAAGGCCAGCCACACCTGATGCTCAAGTTTTGGCTTATACTGAAGAAAAACGGCTGAGAGACAACAGCCTGGATCATTTGCAGTCAGGTGCAATACAAAGTCACTTTTGCTGTTAGTGTATAATGGAGCAAGCACAAAGCGAGTCAGCAGCTCATCATTACTGCAAAATGTCTTTGGAAATGCTCTCAGCAATTCATGGCAGCGCAGCCTTCTTACAGACCCCTGTTCACGAACAATTATTTGCTCAAATTTCACAAAAGCAAGAGGATGCTATGACAAAACTCTCCTGGCACTGCCAATGGCTCTATTCAATAATGTAATGACATCCAGGATTAAAAATAGGCTACAGAGAAAAGTTTGCTGCACTCCAATTATTTTGAGGAAATTTAACATCCATGAAGGATATTGCCTTAAACTGTCCACAAGCTAAAGGCTCACATCCTTCCCTGGGTGTGAGAAGACAATTCAGACAATGCAAGCATTTCAGTGTGGGCCTCTCAACTAAGAATTGTACCATGGCAAGGGAAGGGAAATAAGCCTTAATTTCCAGGGAAGGGTGTCAAAGCATTAAAGAAATAAAATAAAGGATCTAGCATCGCAACTCACTCAGATTACGAGCAATTTTGATCTATCAAGGAGAAAACTATAAGGGAACAGAGGTACACAAGTTCAGGAGCATGATTTGGACTGTCAAGCATTAAAATACCCAGGACTGACTTTTATTGAAAGTGCCAAGCAGGCTGGCGTAGCTCCTCCTTTTCCACTTTTGATTAACAGCATAGTAGTTGGAGCAGCAACCAGCCACCTATGAAAGAGGAGCTCTTTCTGGTTCTCCCCATACTGCCTGGGGGAGACCTCACACACAGCCTGGAGAGCAATATAATTAACAGACTGATAGGGAGCCGAGCCTAGCTCCCCTGCCAACTGCTCAACCGCTCTAATTATGCAAAAACCAGACGTAATTAATGTAGATGTCACTGATGATGGACATGGAGCAATTAGGTTTCAATGAAACTCCATGAAACACTTACTGTTCTAAATAAGTGTACAGCCTTGGTTAGTTACTTTCTCTCCAAAGAGGTTTAAATGGGAAGGTATTCTTCTCAGGTGCATCTCATACGGATTGACTCCAGGTGGTCCCACTACCCAATGCCACATTGCTCTTCCAGCTCACCTCAGTAACTTTTACGAGTGATGGAAAAAGTCATTTCTCATTACTTGGGCTGAATCCCCGTTTCGTCTGAGCTCCTTCACTCAAAGATGTAAATCAGGTCTTCTGCACTACATTGCTGTGTCCTGTGGGCATTTATATATCACCATCTACACACACATCACCACATTTACCAGCAGTTGGCTGATAAGGGGTCCCTGGAATTAATTGCATCATCTACTCATTATCACCTGGGGGAAGGGAGCTCTGGGAGGTCAGACAGCACTGGGCATGGCAGAATTATTCCTACCAGATATCTCCCCCATTCCCCTTGTATTTTGTCTTCACCGCCTTATTCTTGATCAGCTGCAGGAGCTCTAGTGCCTTTTCAATTCTCAGCAAATTATTAGGTACAGATCTCCTCTGAATGCCTCCAAATTTGGTTGCCTCTGCCAACCAGTGGGTCTGGAGACCGCTCCCTTGTCTTCTGAACTCAAATGAAAAGTGAGTTTGCAACGAGCTCTGAAAACCTGATGATGCTGCAAGACAGACACTGTGATATGACAATCTACTGTACTTTGGACAAGCAGGTCATATGGTTTGTAACCTTATGTTTCTACTGCTAAATATAAAATAAATATGTTAGCAATAATATAATTTTATAGCCTTTTAAAAGTAAATACTGCTAAAGAGAGTGAGACATTGTATTGCACCTCTTACCATTCACACTGGATAATTTTTATTTTAACTCCTGGTTTGGTCTTGGACAGCTCCAACTGCTTTCCCCAAGACATGTTTCCTAACTCTCCAGGTCAATTCTACCTAGTCTCAGGGTCAGGGTGAAGGTAATCTGGGCTGCAGACATGCAGAAGTCATAGAATGGTTTGGGTTGGAAGGGACCTTAAAGACCATCTAGTTCCAACCCCCCTGCCATGGACAGGGACACCTCCCGCTAGACCAGGTTTCTCGAAGCACCATCCAGCCTGGCCTTAGGGTATCTCAAATGGCACCAGCTACTGAGTTCATTGTATAGCTCTGCTGGCTATAATGGAAGCTTGGATACCAAGTTCACAGGCAGAGACCTAAATTTAAGTTTCTTAATCAAGAACAAAATCATATCCAAAGGGTTTTCCACTGGGCACTGGTTACAGGCCCTCTGGTCTTTCTCCATCTTTTGTCACGTAGGGAAGTGGGGGATCAGACATGGGCAAAGCTGTAATGCTGAACATTTTCATCACTTTACTGTTATTATAATAACTAAACACATCTCTGTTATCTTGAAAATGAGCTCAGGATGACTTTGAAATTTTTGAGTGCATTTCTTTGATAAAAGAGTGTCTTTGGGAACAGCACTTTTAAAAAAAGAAAAGGAAAAGCAAACACATCCAAGAGAAAAAAACCCAAACCAACAAATTCAGGCAAACCAAAGGTAGCTCGTATGCTCTGCACCAGCACAGGCTGGGGGTCGACCTGCTGGAGAGCAGCTCTGTGGAGAAGGATCTGGGAGCTGTGGTGGACCATGAGCCAGCAATGTGTCCTTGTGACCAGGAAGGCCAATGGTATCCTGGGGTACATTGAGTGTGGCCAGCAGGTCGAGGGAGGTTCTCCTCCCCCTCTGCTCTGCCCTGGTGAGGCCACACCTGCAGTGCTGTGTCCAGTTCTGGGCCTCCCAGCTCAAGAGGGACTGTGTACTACTGGAGAGAGTCCAGCGGAGGGCTGCGAAGATGACGAGGGGACTGGAGCATCCCTCTTATGAGGAAAGGCTGAGAGACCTGGGGCTCTTTAGCCTGGAGAAGAGAAGACTGAGAGGGGACTTTATCAATGCTTATCAATAACTAAAGGGTGTTTGTCAAGAGGACGGGGCCAGGCTCTTTTTGGTGGTGCCCAGTGACAGGACCAGGGGCAATGAGCACAAACTGGAGCACAGGAAGTTCCACCTGAACATGAGGAAAAACTTCTTTACCCTGAGGGTGACAGAGCACTGGAACAGGCTGCCCAGGGAGGCTGTGGAGTCTCCTTCCCTGGAGAGATTCAAAACCCACCTGGATGCAGTCCTGTGTGACCTGCTATAGGTGAACCTGCTCTGGCAGGGGTTTGGACTAGATGATCTCCAGAGGTCCCTTCCAACCCCTGCCATTCTGTGATTTTGTGTGATTCTGCGATTATAAAGGGGGTGGAGGCAAACAGATTATATGTAGTTCAAAGAGGCAGTGTATCCCTGACTTTGAAATTACCATTTCTGTTTCATCTTAGAACTCATTTTACTGAAGTGGCAAAGAAGAGAAACAGAAAATTTCTATCCAAGGCTGAAGTGGCACGTGGTATTCTCTAAAAAATGCTGTTGCTTTTAGCAACTGTAAACCAAAGTATCTGTAAAACCAGTTTTATGGAAGAAAGAAGGGAATTCAGAGTTATTTTATTTCAATATTTCTTGCTAGATGTGAGTGACAGCTATGCTGGGTTTGTTTTTCCTCACAGTCTTTTTTAATCAGATGTCCTTAGGTGACATTTCACTTTATCTAGTAACAACCCATTGGAGAGAAGAGAAGAGAACGACCTTCATCATTTGTTCGCTGCTGCACAGAGCTCAAGAGAACGGCACATTACAGAGATCTCTGAATAGCCTCTTGCATTTTGCCGGCACCTCTTGAGGATTCAAAATACCATAGCCAGATACTATCATCTGTTGTTTTTAAATACCGCCTTCCAGTGTGAGACTGAAAGCTTTAATTTCCCATCAAGGATCCAAGATGTGAAATACGTGAACATGTTTCCAAGTTTCTCTAGATCCTTGTGCCATTATACACAGATAGGTGTTTCTCTTACCACCATATGGCTTACAATGCAGAAAGCCACTTCTTCCAAAAGGCTTGGAAGTTATGACTTCTCCGAAATATTCTTCATCCTTAACTCCTTCTTATTTACCCCCCAGCTCTCTGTTAACAAAACCATTCTTCAGAAATCAGCCTCTTCCCTCCCTTCCACTTGGCCATCACCTGAAGACCAGCCCCCATTTGGACATCCCCCACCAACTCCCAACTTGTGGAGGTGCAGGAGGAGCCCGTCAACCACAACAGGCACCTCCCCATCAGCACGGCAATGTGCCTGCTTAGCAACCTGCCAACCACAGATGCAAGTGGGACAACGGAGGTGAGCGACTGGCCAGCAAGGCCAGTGCTGTAGATGGTGAATGGTTAGCAACGAGTGAAACAGAAGTGCTAACTCTCGGGCTCAGAGGACAGGTCTCTTCTCCACCCTGCCAGTGTACACAGCTGCAGGGGGATAACGAAGTTGAGCTCATCAAGCAGATTTCCATCTGTGGGGAAATCAGAGGATTTGCCTCCTTCTCTTGCTCATCTGTTTTCATAAAGCTTCAAGACATTAATGTATTTGAGAGTTCTACTCCTTTCCCCGCACCAGATCCAGTGAAAACTGGCCAGTACTTTTGCAAAACATAACTAGGGGCTGATGGACACACGTGCAGACAGCATCATGGCCCAAGCCCAGGACAAAGCACCCGCCATGTGAGGATGCCCTCCCTGAATGATGAGCGCTGGCAGAGCCAGTCCCTCAAACAGATTGTCCTTGGGAGGAGCTGTGCCAGAAAGCACGGCCCTACAGCTGACTCCCTGGCTGAGTACCCCAGAGCAGCCCTTGCCTCCAAAATGCTGCTTCATAAGGGACACCAAAAGCTGCTCCTCCAGCACAGCCTCTAATGGGCACTGCAGAAAAGAGGACCTTTCCTGGAGGCACAGTGCTCCTGCGGTGGAGAGAAGGGTAGTTAATAATATGATGTAGTTAACGATATAAGCGCTGACTCCAAAACACCCCTCCCTGCAAATAGAGTTGTTCTGGCTCCAGCAATTACCTGACAGTTCAACAAGACAAAAGGGAAGGAAAAAAACCAAAAAAACCAACAACAACAAAAAAAGAGAAATTGGATTCAGGTGCAGCAGCTCCACAATATGCCAGAGGTCACCCAGAGTCCCCTGGTGGCCAATAACACTGAACTTGTTCAACAAACAATTTAGTGACAGACTCACAGTCGCAGGGAGGGGGGGCGGGGGGAAGTGCGGCACGACAGAGTATTGGATTTTAAATGTCACTCCAGAGCTGCAGGGGGTTAGTGCAAGGTTTATGACATGCTGGCTGTTTCTGAGCTGGTGGATGCTCAAAGTCAGAATTATCTCTCCCATCTTCCAGCCCTGCGAGGCAAGTACCAACAATGTTTTGGAAGGAGATGCCAGGGCCCTCTGGTTATGCGCTCCGAAGAGATACAAAGCAGCCATTTATGTGGAGTTAGTTGCTTTGCTGTCGTGCTCCTGTTATTCATTCCTCTCTGATAAAAGAAGTGACTCAATCTGCTGGGCCGCAGCTTTGATCAGCGAAGCCAGCGGAGTAACTCGAATTTACTTTGGTCTATTGCAAGGAGGTACGTGACCCAGAGAAACCAGTGATTGAAAGGCATGGAGATGTGGTACATCATTCAGTGAACATCCCTGGCTTGCAAGCAGGATGGGCATTGCCCAGTGCCTTGCCCAGGCTACTTTTAAATCTGGAGCTTACTCCACATGCTCTGGAAGACCATTTCACAGTTTGCTCAGTCTTATTGTCTGAAAATATTTCCTGTGCTTCCATTTCACTTTGTTTAAGTCTGTCATTTGCTATGTGAAGTTTTCAAAAGTTTGTATTTTCTTCCACATGCTTCATCAATAAATACAGAGATAACCAGTAGGAAGAAGGGCTGGGTTGTGTCTGGGAGCATGTGTGCGTGGCTGGCAGGTTTGGGAGTGAACAGAATTACATGTGAAACATCAGTGCTGGATGCGCGGATAGGCTTAGGAGAAAACGGATCATGTGTTCAGGTATCATACGTGAATGAATTTATTTTATGCAAATATATGCCTACAATATGCTGCGTGTGACAGAAAGGAAGGGAATCCTGCTCTATAGCATTTGAGAACCACTTGCTATCACAGCATGATCCTGCAACAGCAGACTGAAATAAAAATGCTCATGTTTAGTTGCTGTCATAACACAGGGGAAGAATATGAAACAGCCTGCAATGGTTAAATTCCACTTTCAACACTTGAGTGTAAAGTGACTCATCTGAAAGCACAACGGCTGCATAAAGCCCTCCTTTGCCAAGCAGGTCCCTGTACAGTCCTCACCGCAGCTTCTTGCTTTAAAAACCTGAAGGGGACATGGAGATTTTCTTTTATTCTTATTGCTCATTCATGCAAATTTACCTAAAACAGGTGGATGAAAGGGAGGGCTCCTTGGTTTTATTTTCAGCTCAGCTGCGTGTATAAGCCAAGTGTCTGTCTTCACCTCAAGCTGTCACTCAAGTTACTTGGCTATTCAATCAATAAGTCTAATAATAATAAAAAACCTAATGATAATAAAATAATAATAATAAAAATAACAACAACAATAATAATTTCTGTTGCAGTTCTGTGAGAGTTAGTATCCTGCACATAACAATTCAGAGACAATCTTTTGTGCGGTCTCTGAATGGGCCTTCCATGTTTGCCTTCTCCTGTACAGCTTTGCCTGGGGAGACTGTGTCACATCAGAGGGCAGGAAAAATCCTGAGGCTATTTCTCATTACAGAAATCATCTCTATTAGCATTCTATTGTTTAATCCAAGGAAGCGAGAAACAAAAAAAAAGGAGTCTCTGAGCTCCAAACCACAGCCGCGTTACTGCGGCGTAATGGTTTTCAAGCACCAACTCAGCCATGGTAGCAAAAGGCATACTTCTTTTGGTCCCCCTCTATCATAAAGTGATATGTCTTAATAGAAATCTCTCACTGAAGTTGAAGCTGGTACATTTTGGCTTATCTTCACCATAGCTATGAGGCTGACTATTCTATTAATGCACAGTATCTTCTTCATACCTCTGAGTGATACTCTTTGTGGTTCGGGAGATGTGACACTGTATTTTACCTCCTGGTTTAATACGTGTACAGGACTTCAAGAATGTGCTGCAGGACAGTGAGACTTCAGTGAACTCATAGATAAAGAGGCTAGGAGGGCAGCTGGAATCAATTCCACTTCCTACTGTTATCATTTTATTAGCAGAAATGTAAAGAGCATATCCTGATCTCCCCAAGCACATTGGTGCCTCACTGCTCTCACGATGTTTGAATACACAGCAACAGCAAGCAGGAATTCAGACGAAAGAGGATTCGGACTAAACAGATGAAAGGAACCCTGGAATAAAATCAGGCCAGGAGATGAAAGAATATCTTGAGAGGTAAATGACTTTTTTCAAGGCCACACAACCGATAAGCAGTAGGGCTGGGAATAACCCAGGGCTCTCGTATCCTGACTCAGTGTGCTAACCTTTAACAGTGCTGCCTCCATCTTTCAGGTGAATAACTCCCAACAGGGAGAGAGGGGGAAATGATTGGGCTGTAAAAGCTTTTTTCTTGCCAATTTCATCATTGAATTTTGTGCCAGCATCTACCAAAACGGCTTGTGATGCAGGCTGTTTTAAAAAGCAGGAGGCAGTGACTTGGGATTAAACCCGGTCAGGTAAAATGAAAGTCAACTATCATCTAAAACTTCTTTCTGGTGAGATCCACAGCAGTGCAAAACAGTTTCCTACGGAAGTACTGGGACTTGTTTAAGACATTTTAAACCAGATTGAATAAGTTCCTAGAAAAAAAATCTGTAGAAACTGATTCTATATCAAGATTTGCTTTTTTTCACTTCCAAGAATCCTTGGTGCAAAGGCCTTGAATTTAGCCTGAAATCTGCTATAACTGTTTCTTTCTCTCTTGTGGGAGAAAGAAACAGTAACACACCATTTCATTGAGCAACCACCAGAAAACACCACAGGAAAAAGCAACGTGGCAGTAAGGAACTTAAGATGTGATTATTCAGTCGGATTTCATTGCTGTAACAGGGACTGCCTTGCTCTTAATCTCCCAGTGTATCTGGGAGAACATGCTGATACAGGTTTTTTTAATAAAGATTGCAACTGGATAGTTTGCTGATAAGGGTGTGAGATACTGTGTGGAGTTGCATGGATCACCTTGCTATTGTCCCATTCTTGCGTTTTCATCTGTGTGTGGATGAGCTCATAGGACGGCTCCATCGCATCCATCTCTGGCTTGGGGTAGCCGGGGATGACGTTGTGTAGCTGGAACCCGAAGGTGAGCAGCCAGCTGTTGACATCTGGAGGGGAAGAGAAGCATAAATCAAGTTATCTGATCTCTCAAGCAGGGTTGCCCAGAAGAACAGCACAGAGGAGGACCCTATGGTGCCTGGCACTGTGGCAGTCCGGCTAAATGGTTAGCGTCTACTTCGTGTGAAGAGCACAAATCTTAATGGTCCTTGAAAGGACCATGGGCCAAAGCTGGGCTTTCCACCTCCAACCACAGTCCAAATCTGCACTTTCCCAGCTCTGCAGCAGAAGCCTTGGTAGTGACCAAATGGCCCAAATCAAAGTCAACTCCACGTCTACCCTTTGTCAAGGCACTGCTCTAAGGTATGCAGGAGAAGCACAGGAACAACAATACTCTAAAGGAAGCTGAGATGGGAAGTGTTGTCCAGTCCTACAGTCAGCTCTGAACATCTCAGCCACAGTACTTCTCCTCCTGAGGACCCTCAAGGGGCCTGCAGGCCGAAGACTAAATTTAGGGCTATGTGAGCCAGAATACCAGGGCATCCAGGATGAACAGCATGGTCATTTGGCAGGTGCTCATGGAAGAGGCTCTGGACATACTCTCTGCTTTTTCCATGGCATTTCCACCTCAGTCTTGAGTTTCTTGGCATTTTTCATACGAAGGTATCGTTTCAGTATCAAACCAGTGTAAAGTCACATGTCATCTTTTATAGTGACATTTAAAATCAGCTTCCACACTACCTGCAAGGTACATTATAGTGAAAGTAAGTGTACAGATACAAGACTACTTTGCTTCGATACTTTCCACAACCCCCTTAGAAGAAGTCCATGGATGGTGAGAAAACTGCTGCCTGCAAGCGATAAACTATTGTCCTGTTCAAAAGGGGGACCACTGGCACCAAAGGGGACATGATGGAAACCCCAGCCATTTGGGACATCGTTCCTGCATTCACTTGACAGTAGACTACAAAGTCTTCCCTGATTTTTTGATTGCACAGCTATTAGGAATAGCAGCTGACAGTTAATCCGCTGGAGGAAATAGTGATGAGGTTGGTTAACTCCTAGATCTGCTTGGGATCGGCATCGCTTCCACCCTTAACTTCAGGGCATTTGATGATCTAACCTTGTTTGCCTTCACTGAACTCTAGAGAAGGACACACCTGCTACAGCCTTCAAGCAATATGGTGTGCATTTGGCACACAAGTAGCAATTGCAAGGAAAAGAAAGGTATGATGGTAAAGTTTAACTAATATCAGCTCCCAGGGGTCTCAAGTGTTTTGGATGTAACTGGGATTGTGTTGGTGATTGCTCTGCTTCAAGCTGGATGTGCAAGGGGCTTGATTTTCATTTTACTAAACTCAATAAACATTATTGAAACAATGTGAAAAAGGGATCAATTTAAATAACCAAATATGCATCTTTGAATATTTTTTCTCTATTTCCCATGAGCCTAAATGAGTGTTTTGAAGAGCTGGTTGGAAAAGAAATTATGGATGCAAGCGGCAAATAAGGCACTTCCAGATGACTGGAGAACCAGGAGCCAAACAAACACTCTATCTGTTGCTTGTTTTCTTACAGGCCAAAATGTTGAGATTGGGCAGATGTCCAAAAAGCCCTTGCGACAATCCATGTGGAAGGGGGAGGATTTCTGTAATAAAAACACTTCTGTTCACTCAATGTACAGATTGTTTTTGGAGTGTCTTTGAAACAGAGAGGTTGGAGGGAGGGAAAGAAATTAAAAGGCTCATTTGATTATTTTTTTTGCTTAGCGCTAAGCCAGCCTGCTTCCAAGTCCTTCTCATGTGAAATGAAGACCTTTGATGTACATATTGTGGACCAGGTGGTCAGGAGAACAAAGTAAAACAGTGAAGGTCGGCATTGGTGAAGGAACCATTTTCCAAGCACTTCACAAATGTTAAAAAGGATGCAGAGCAGGGATGCTGAACAGCAGAAAAATATGTAACGTGTCTGGAAAGATTCAAGACAGGCTTTTTTTGCTACTTCTCAGAAAACTGACTTTCAAAACATTTGCAAACAGGAGTTTGTTCTTTTTGGGAAGAGGTGTTGGAATACCCAGAACAAAAAAACCAAAAAAAAACAAAAAAAAACATAGGAGGAAGGTGTGGAGCTGAGAAAACACAGGGGAAAATATTAATTTGCCAAGAGGCAGTGACAACTTTTTTGACAGAAAAGTACATTTCACATCACAGAGTTTTTTTTCAGCTACAGTAACCCTGCCAACACATTTCACAGTAAATTCATTTGAGGGCAAAGAAAAAGAGTGCTTAATGCAGACACATGTAATGGAAATGTCAGTTCAATCCATCAGGATTGCTGAAGCTGGCAGCAAAGCTCTGCGCCTTGAAGTGTACAATCACTAAAATATTCATGTTTAACAATGGGCCTCAAAACATAAATACCTGCTTCTCCTGCTCTCCCCTCTGCATGCCTCCAATTTGTAGCCATGAGCTCAGAAACCTCATCACTGGAGACCAAAGGATGTGTTGTTCGCCCATGTCCTGGGCGCTGAGCTCCCCTGAGGACAACAGGTCCTGGGGTGGGGATGGAGGGACAGAAAATGGTTCCTTGTGCCCAAATCTGGGCAGATTCGGTTGTGATGACAAGGACACACTCATCGCAGTCCTGTCCACAATGTGCCTGAAAGCTTCAGCCGAAAGAAATGCCAGAGCAGCAGCTTTGCATCACGGCACTCATCCCATTACATGACCTGTTTCTTCCACGCAGTGGGAGAGGAGAAACTTAAAAAATGTATTTGGGCTCTGTATTCTTGCAAGACTAAAACCAGACTTTTAAGACACTGGAAAAAGTTATTCGGTACATATAAAACATTAAATTATCAGATTTGAACATCTTGATGTTATCATCAGAGCTGGGTGGGAAACTGCCTGTCCCAAGACAGGATTAGAAATCTTGTCCTGCGTTAACTTGAGCAGGAAAATAAAAATCTGTTAATATGCCACGAAACAACTGTCCAAAAACTAGATCAGTTCAAGATAACAATTTCAAATTAAGATCTTCCATTTCGCTTTTGACTCTTAATTTTTCTTTTCCAGTTTTCAATCAGTTTACCCTTAACTTGAAGAGGCTGAAAACCAAAAAGGAATTTTTCTTTTAGGCTATTTTGGAATTTGTCATTTAGACAATTTTGAGAGCTGTTTACAACATTTCTGCTGAGAAATCTCTCAAGCTCTACCGTCTTCCATAAACAAATTCAGTTTTGACAAATGAGCATTTTCTGATAGGAAAAGTTATCTCAAAGTATTCCCTGCCAGCCTTAATTATCAGAGCGAGGCCAACACACAGGATCTTAGTCTGCATCTTTTGGCATATTTTACTTCCCTCATGGCATCATCTTCTCAGCTCTGGAGAAAACAGCTTTTCATTTAAAAAAATACAATCTAATCCTTATGATTACTGCAGAAGAACCTGAAAGCATGAATCCTAATGGCTAGAAAAACAAATGGAATAGAACAGCCCAGAATTTTTATTTTGTAACATTTTTTTTTGCTATTAAGCCAATCTCATAATTTAAGGGAATGCAAATATTGTTGCATATGGGAAAGTTGCGATAGACGCAGCAGGAGCTTTTAAAAATTAATTATATTTCCTTAAGAAGTACGTATGTTCGATTTCTGATTATGTCACCTGGTTTTCCAATGGGAAGTATATAGAAAAGAGTCCTACCCAAACAGTCCTCTCAAGCACTACTACTCGTGTTGCACAAAGTGTGAATACAGGAAGGATATTTAACATACAGGATGATTTTCTGTATGAAAAACATACATAGAGCTCATGTTACTGCCATTTTACAAAGTCCCGGGGGAAGCAGTTCAGAGGTTGTGTCAAGCTGTGGGGTGAGTATGCCCTAAAATCTGGCCTTTAAGTCTAACGCACCTGCTTTTATTGACTTTTAGTAGAAACTGTTAATTCTGTGGGGCAGATCAACTTTCAGCTACACGATTAGTGTAGAATCATAGAATCATAGAATTGTTTAGGTTGGATAAGACCTTTAAGATAATCAAGTCCAAATGTTAACCTAACACTGCCAAGTTCACCACTAAACCATGTCCCTAAGAACCAAATCTACGTGTCTTTTAAATACCTCCCGGGATGGTGACTCCAGCACTTCCCCGGGCAGCCTGTTCCAACGCCTGACCACACCTTCAGTGAAGGAATTTTTCCTAGTGTCCAATCTAAACCTCCC